GTCTTTTCTGAGACTGTTTCTCCAACCAGGGACTATGCATGGATATAACCTAGAACCCCTGCTCAGATGTAGCCCATGACAGCTCAGTCTCCAAGTAGGTTTCCTAGTAAGGGGAACAGGGACTGTCTCTGACATGAACTCAGTGGCTGGCTCTTTGATCACCTCTCCCTCAGGGGGGAGCAGCCTTGCCAGGCCACAGAGAAGGACAATACAAACAGTCCTGATGAGACCTGAAAAGCTAGGGTCAGATGGAAGGGGAGGAGGACCTCCCCTATCTGTGGACTTGGAGAGGGGTATGGGAGGAGTTGAGGGAGGGCAGGTAAGATGGGGAGGAAATGAGGGTGGGGGCTACAGCTGAGATACAAAATGAATAAACTGTAATTAACAAATAAAAAATTAAAATTTAATTAAAAATGGGTTTTGACTGATATAATTGTTTTTGGTTTTTGTTATTGTTTTGTTGTTGTTGTTTGTTTTGTTTTCCTGAGACAGGGTTTCTCTGTATAGTCCTGGCTCTCCAGGACTAGGCTGGCCCTGAACTCACAGAGATCCGGCTGCTTCTGTCAGCTGAGTGCTGGGATTAAAGGCATGCCACTACTGCCCAGCTGACAGATGTTACTGTTTGAAACCCAAAGAGTTCATGTCCACAGCATCTGTCACCTGTGCAAGTAGGGCCATTGTGGTTAAGATATTCAGGGGGTAGATTAGAAATGAGAACATGCAGAATTCCCCATTTTTCCCTTAACATTCTCAAGTCGAGAAGACCTGGGTTTATATGCCTGCCCTGCTTTCTACCAGGTATAAGTTTCCTACTCTGGAAATGGAGGGCTCGCCCGAGAACTGCTAGAGGAATTAAACGAGAAGCCAAACAGAGAAGAGCACAGGGAACATAGCCCGGGAAGCAGGAGGCAAACACGTAGGGATACAAGTCTCTTCACAGCAATGAAAGCCGCTGTGGTCCTAATCGGGAAAGCCCACCATGCTCTCCTAGGTTGGAAGCGCAGTGCCTTGCCTGTGGCACCGTCTAAAGGCTGTGAAGTGAAGGCGACAGAGCCTGGCTGGAGGACAGCGCTTGCAGGTGATTTCTGCTTCCTGCCATGGGCCACCCTGTGCTCCTTCCTGCCTGAGCCGTGTGAATGTGCTCCTACCATCAAAGACTGGGCTGTCCTGCTTTGCCTCTCTTAGTAATAGAGTGCAACCTTCTGAAACCAGGAGACAAAATACAGCCTTCCCCTCTTGTTTCAATGTTGGTTCACAGCAATGAAAAAGTGATTAATGCAGTATTTAAGGGCTCTGGGATTCAGAAACCAGAGAGCATTTTGTCAATAATATGAAAGCACAAGGGAGGAGCTGGATCTGATTGTCTTTCCTGCTCCAATGTGGTTCAAGATATCTAAGCATGACAATGACAAACCCTAAAATAGACATTAAATCTCAAGACACATTTACTGAGAGAAAATCAGGATAAACTGGCTGACTACCTACTCAGCTTTAGAGACAGCTAACTCCCCAAAGGAGTGACATAAGAAGTACATGTATTATTAATTAAGCTTCTATTAGTGATCCCCATTATACATCTTACAGGCATACTTAAGTATAAATTATGAATCCAGCAGTGAAAGGCCCCGAACGCATTCCACATGACGTGTCATCATGAATGTAGTCCTACTACACGATGCCTACAATGGTCGTGTTGTCCTTTATCCTCCTTCCATGCTGGGGAGCAAACCCACACCTGTGTGCCAGCTGAGTGAATGCTTTACCACTGAGCTACAACGGCCTCAGCCACTTCCCTATTTTCTGACTCTTCCTTGCAGCTACTCTGCCAGTCTTTCTTACTAAGGAATCTTATTAAAACTGCTACTCGCAATGCCTGTTAAGTGGTTCGCAGAAAGCCATCCAAATAGCCCCGGATCACTGTGCTTGATGCAACATCATCCCACCTCCCAGCCAAAGCTGGAGGTCATTTTTGCAGCAGTATGTGGCAGCACTGACTATATCCAAATGCAGAGGTGAAAAAAGGAGCAGGTTTGGTCCCATGTTGAATGGAGCATTGCAGCAGGTAATTAAATCCATCAGAGGACGTAGACCGTTTGGTCCACAGGCAACATAAAAACAGGGGAATGTTAGCAGTGAGCAGCCAGACTACTTCAAAAGTTTGCATAGGAATCATAGGAAACAGGCAGTCAACAGTCTCCTCGCTGCTGACTGACAACTTCTGGTCTCCCGTAAAACATATCAGAGGGGCAATCAGAAGGGGAAATGGGCACCACCTGCCCCAGAGCATGCACGCCAGGATTTGGGTAGCCTCTACTACTCTCCCCTCCTGTAACCTCACCCTCCACCCCAGCGGCTCCTTCAGAAGGAAGTGGAGTAAAAGCCATCCTCCCATTCCCTAGCACTAGGAACAGATGTCTGAGTTGAGGCCTGACACCTTGAAGACCTGCTGCCCGTGCTGCATGTTTCACCTCCCCAACGCCAGCATACTCCCCTGGCCCTGGGCCTGTGTGAAGCACGGGAAGGGAAGTCCAAACCAGGGGTCCTGTGGAAAGGCTTTGGCCCCAGTCAGCTTCTGCAGATTTCTTTGGTATGTATTTCTCTTATGCAAACGGTTCTCCATACTCCTTCTGCCTAAACACACCAGGCCCGACCTAGCAATGCCTGCCTATGTCTCATACACCGATAACAGGTCCTTGTCATTAGCAGCTCTGTTGCACATGATTCATCATCAACATGACCCTTCTGCTGGTCTAGTTGCTAAGCCTATTCCCTCGTGTGCCTGCCACCCAGGGACCCCAGTGAAGTGGCATCTGCGGTTTTACGGTTTGCAGAGGCATTATCAAGTCCAACCTTGGCAGTTCCCTGAGGGTGTCAGCATAGGAAATGGCCATAGTTGGCTCAACAGAGCATGAGGAAGAGCCAGGTGAACGTATCTTTTAATCCTAACAATACAGACTCATTGCAGTTCCAGAAACATTATTTTTTTTAATTTTTATTAATTACACTTTATTCACTTTGTATCCCTCTGTGGCCCCCCTCCTCCCCTCCCAATCCCACTCTCCCTCCCCTTTCTTCACACATGCCCCACCCCAAGTCCACTGATAGGGGAGGTCTTCCTCTCCTTCCTTCTGATCCTAGTTTATCAGGTCTCATCAGGAGTAGCTGCACTGTCTTCCTCTGTGGCCTGGTAAGGTTGCTCCCCCTCAGGGGGAGGTGATCAAAGAGCAGGCTAATCAGTTCATGTCAGAGACAGTCCCTGTTCCCATTACTATGGAGGCCACTTGGATACTGAACTGCCATGGGCAACATCTGTGCAGGGGTTCTAGTTTATCTCCATCAATGGACCTTGGTTAGAGTATCAGTCTCAGAAAGGACCCCTGTGCCCAGATTTTTTGGTTCTGTTGCTCTCCTTGTGGAGCTCCTGTCCTCTCCAGGTCTTATTATTTCCTACTTCTTTCATGAAATTCCCTGCACTCTGGCCAAAGGTTGGCCATAAGTCTCAGCATCTGCTTTGATACCCTGCACAGTAGAGCCTTTCAGAGGCCCTCTGTGGCAGGCTCCTATACTGTTCCCTGTTTTCTACAAACAACCTAGATGCCCCTCAACTGAGGAATGGATACAGAAATTGTGGTATATCTACACAATGGAATATTACTCAGCAATAAAAAACAAGGAAATCATGAAATTTGCAGGTAAATGGTGAAAACTGGAAAAGATCATCCTGAGTGAGGTATCCCAGAAGCAAAAAGACACACAGAGTATATACTCACTCATAAGTGGATATTAGACATATAATTTAGGATACACCTACTAAAATCTGTACACCTAAAGAAACTAATCAAGGAGGACTCAGGCAAAATGCTCAAACCCCATACAGAAAGGCAAAGAGGTTGGACATCAGAAGAAGGAGAAAACAGAAATATTATTTTAAAGCTTTCAAAAAGCATTTCCTGAGGCCCAAATCCTTAATTGTCAGTGTTGGTTAGAAAATCCGTGTGCCAGAACCAACCAGGACAAAAATATCAGAACACCTAGAATAATATGCTTAGAAAATGAGGGTATCATGCCCCTGCTGAGCTCCAGCACCCCAGGGAAAGCAGTGCTGCTGTCACTAGTCATACAGGACACTTGGTTAGTGTCTTAGTCACAGTTATATTACTGTGACAAACCATGACCAAGGCAACCTATACAAGAAAGCATCTAATTTAGGGTTCACAGCTCCAGGGACTAGAGTATATGGTCATTACAGGGAGCACAGCAGCAGGTAGACAGCCATGACTCTGACGCCGAGGCTGAGAGCTTACACCTTGAAACCACAGCCACCAGGCTAAGAGAGAGATGACTGGGAATAGCTTAAACCTCAAAATCCATACCAAGTGACACACCTTTCCCAACAAGGCCACACCTCCCAATCCTTCCCAAGCAGTTCCACCAAGAGGAGTGGGGGGGATATGAGCCTATGGGGGCCGTTCTTATTCAAACCTACACAGTTAGGGAGGCAGAGCTCCTGCCTTCCTACAGTTGCAAGGTCACGGTTGTAAGGTCTCCCAGAGTTACCCTGAGCTGGCTTTCCCAGCCCTAGAAAAGGGGACCATTGGCTACCAGCACAGATTCCAGCTCTCTTCAGTGCTTTTCCTGTCCTGACACTGCTCTGCTGTGGCTGTGAGGAACTGACATGCCTCAGCCTGCCAGCCTGCTCACTCTAGAGCCCCCAACCTCACTCTAGACCACAGCTTCAAAGGCACTAGGAATTCCCCAGACGTTGGATCAGTCTGTGTGACACTGACCTGCTCTTGCCTCTGGCAAGGACCTACCCAACACCTTCTTAGAAACCACAACCCTTTCTTGATGTGACCACAGTGTCACTCTGTGGGGGTGACAACAGCCCAATTATCTGATCCAAACTTATCTAAGAGAATGATTTCACCCATTTTCAACTTGACACAACCTAAAAATGACTGTGTATTCAACACTTATACAAAAGACAGCTCTCTACTCACAGGCCTTCTGGTTGAAGCACCTTGGACAGAATGATAAAATTCTGGCTGCACTCGGCTATTTTTCTTGATCCTTCGCTTCCTCGCTGCCAACTCTTGCTCGCTCTGATGGTGAGCTTCCACCACAGGCTTCGCTTCTTCTAGCCGGGCAGCTGCAGCCGCTGCAACTCGTCTCCTGATGTGGCGAGGGCTTGCTCGGAATCCCTGTGGCAGGAAATACACACACACATAGGAATTCAGGTTTTCACTGACTCTGCATCAATATTTTCTGGACTTACTTACACTTACACTAAGTACTCCCCAAGTTCCCCTAGTCAATGAAATCATGCATATTCCCAATGTGAGCGTAAGAGATTGAACATGTGGGAAAAATTATCCCCAGGACTCACGGTATTTATACCTGAGAAAATGGTCGTAAGATCCAGCAAATGTATGGACGAATGCAGAAGGACAGATGGGGACCCTGCTCTACTTCTGCATTGTTCAGAAAAGTTACAAATACTTCTGCTTATACATGAAACAGAGGATAAGGTAGGAGATAGAACACCAGGCCAGGTGGATACTTAGTTGTAAATGCCAACTTGACACAATCTAAAAATCACTGGGAATCGAGTCTCAATGAGGAACTGTCTAGATCAGGCCTACAGACATGCATGTGCGGAACTGTCTTGACTGCATTAACTAAGGTGGGAAGATTTGCCCACTGTGGGCAGCATCATTCCTTATGTCTGCATCCTGGAGTACACAGTATACAAAAGAGCCTGAGCACAAGGAACCGTGCATGCACCGGTGTTCTCTCTGCTCCTGACTGTGGGTGTACCTTGACGGTTCAGCTAGTGCCTTGACATTTTTGACATGGACTGTAACCCGGAACTGTATTCCATATAAGCCCTTCCTCCCTTAAAATTACTTTTGTTTGGGTACTTAATTTACTACATCAACAGAAATGATGGGCAGAGAGCCCCTCTGCACTCTTGGGGGCAGAATCTTTTTGGAGGGAAAGTAGGCTGCAAAGGATCATGACAGCATACACAAAGCGAAGACCCAGGGCTAGATGTGAGGTGGGAGTGATGGGCCTGCGTCCAAATGCCGGCATGTTAGCTAAAGCCACGAAATTTACTCAACATGTCCTGTGTCAACTGCCCTAATCCATGAAATGTTTACATTCTATTTGTAAGACTTTCAGGTTCCAAATAAAGAGCATATGTGAAATTCCCAGTGGCATATCTAGAAAAAGGCAGGTGGTTAATAAAATGGTCCTGTGAGATTTTTTTTCTCTTTAGGTGAGGTAAGCATAGCTCTTCAGACAAGGAAACAAGTTCAGATAGGCCACAGTGTGAAAACAATTTCACAAGATATCAAAGATGGTTTCAGCCCTCTTGTGGCAGAAACAGGAAGTAATTTACCAGAAAACAAAAGAAGTAATTTACACTGAGTTTCCCAAACACACAGGCAAAACGGGGCAGACAGTTCAGCACTCTCAGTGGTAGCAGATCTCAGGGAAAGGAGCTGAATGGAGTGGAGAATATTCTCTATTTGGCGTGGTTTAGTGGGTGGCAGCACTTGAAGACTGAATAGTACTTACGTTCTAGGCCAGGGGCAGAACTTAGGAATGAATGACTAAGCAACAGGGCAGGTACATGTATGAACTATTTACAAGCAGTGGAGATGGTATTTGATGATGTGCCATAACTCAAGTATGGATGAAATAAAAGGGTAAGCAACAGATGTCTAGGCGGAGCCTCTGTGTTCCTGGTTTGTCTGACTGTTAGAAGAGACACAGAAGAGTGAAAGACTGCAGTGAGGTAAGAAGGAATGGAGATTAACAACACCAGAAAAAGAAGCACATTTCAAGGAAGGTCTTATCGTGTGTGTGTGTGTGTGTGTGTGTGTGTGTGTGTGTGTGTGTGCGCGCGCGCGCGCTCACGCATGGTTCAGAAAGACCAGGGTGTGCAGGGAGTTCTCACTGAAGAGCCTGGAGATGTCCTGGTATCTGACTGTAGAGACCTTTTACATGAACTGAAGGATATGAAGAAGAGGAGGCTGAGTGGAGGAGGACGCAAAGTGTAGCACCAAGGTCAAGGAAAGGACCGAGGAGGAAATGCAAGCAGCTTTTCAGAATGACATCATCGTCTGGACCTGCTCCTATCGGCCTGCTCCCATCCCGCCCTCGGGTGAGAGCTCAGCTGGCCCTCTTCAACTCAAAATAGTCCGGAAGATCTCTGCAGCCCCCACACAGCCCAGGAGGTATTACAGCAGCTGCCCGGGAAAAGGATTAGGGACAGGGAGCTGGGGGCAACCGCAAGCCATGTCGGAAGCAGAAGCTGGGCCACTCAGAAGAACTGGCAGCCACGCACTTGTCTAGAAGCCAAGCACACTTTCACTCTTCTTCTGAATTAGACTCACTGAGGATAATTTCTGTAGTTTGAAGACAAAGAATCTCAAGGCACCACAGTTTATTCTAACCACTAGGTGGCATTAAATATCACTGCTAACTTTTGTAGTAATACAGTGATTCAAATGTTTGTTTGATAAAATGGAGATTCTCTTCTTATGAGTAACAAGCAGCTGTCGTTTGCTGCTTTATTACTGACAGTCCTTAGTGGCGTACAAATCCGAGAAACACTTAGGGAGTGACCACTGCCTAAAACTCTCTTAAAGTCACACACAAATATATAATTTACTTAAATTACTTTTTAAATTATATTTGTGTATGTGTGTGTGTAAGCATGTGTGTCTGTGCTAAAGTGTATAGGTGTGTGCATGTGGATTTGTGTCGGGTGTGTGTCCACACCATGGTGCACCTGTAGAGGTCAAAGGACAACTGTGGAAGCACGTGTTCCTTCCACCATGTGAGTCCAGGCTTGAACTCCGGTTACCGGGTAACATCTTTATCTCCTGAACCATCTTGCCAGCTCACAGAATTGCTTACAATACCAAAGCGGAGATCAACAAAAATCGTCTTTTCCCACTGCCATGCAGATCGCTGTAACTTCCATTCTGTATAAATATAATTGCATTACTTTAGAATCAAATTTTCTAAGCATTAGAGTAGAGCACACAGATTTTACATCCAGACTATTCAGGCCCATTACATGGCCTCCGTTATTTCCTAGCTGTGTGCTTTTGGCTAGTCACTTAGCTATTTCCTTACCTATAAACGAGCACTCAACCAATTTCTCCACAGGTTTGCAGTGGAGAATAATGATGTCACTTATGCAAGGCATTAGAAGAGTGCTTGGCACACCAGGATGGAAGTGTCAGCCGTGATGACTGCGCATCACTTGCGTGATTAAAACATACTCTCGAAGACAACCAGATGTGAAAGGGGAACAAGTCACACTGCTGTGTGGCACTTACTGAAGACACGAGAGGCACCAATCACTGGGGTGAGTGTTGGTGCTCCAGACGCCCAGGCATATACGCTAAAGTGAGCCTAACCGCTGTGCTCAACTGCTAGTCCTGACACTCAGCATGTGGGCCTGGCCGTGGCGCTTCTGTGTCACGATGCGCCATTATGACTGTATAGCTTACTTTCCGGCTTCTGCACCAACGAATCTCACGCAGTTCAGAGCTGTGATGGCCAATACTTTAAAGATGAAACCATCACCACACAGTCGGCTTTATTTCACTGAGTCACTGCAGAGGTTCAGTCTTTACTTTATCACCCTAAACGCTATAAAACACAAGCAGTGACCTAGCTGAAGGAAATTTTATTTAAAGACAGCAGGTGGTGCTGTAAGCTCTTTTTGGTGATAGGATTTAAAAGGACATAGTCCTTTTCTCTCCATTCATTTGACCTTGCCCAGATACAACTGGGTGAGCAGAGTTAGGGAACTGGGAGGGATGGCAGATTCCCAAGAGGATGCTGGGTGCTTTCACAGGCTAACATTTCATCATGGAATCCTTAAACCGCCTGTCACTCCTGAGTCAAATGGACCACGAGAGCTGCTTCAGCCTTAACCTGGCCACAAGCAGAAAGGATGATGATGGCTGCCAATTCGTCATCCCTTCCTGGCCCTAAACTAACAAAAGGTACACAGCTAAAGGATGAGGAAAGTACAGTGAGCGGTGCAGCTCCACCACAAGGCTAAGAACGTCAGAAGTATGAACGTCCAAATCGGACTCCACAGACGTGTGTTTGTGTGGGCACACACACTTGCACTTGTTTTGTTTTAACAGGGAGAAAGAACATGAAGTTGTGTGGGCAAGAAGGTGAGGGAGGGATGAGCTGGAGTTGTTGAGGATTGGCTCTCTCCTGCCTAAACACCCATCCTGAGTTAGGGACTCACAGAACATCCCCTCAGCAAACAGGAGAGAAGGGACAGTAATAAGTGCAGTTGGTGATCTCTTCCTACGCCGGCGCATTCTACACAAGCTGCTCTTGTCATCCTGGGCAGCCGTCATGACCAGCTCAACAGAAACCTTCAGAAATAAAGCCACGTGGGGCTGGGTCTTGTTTTTTCTGGCTCACCCACCTTACCTCCCTGATCTGTGCCCTGCTCTTCCCCTGACTCCAGTTTTATTAATGTTTCCTTCACCTCTGTATCCACGTTTGGTTCTCTAGGAAAGGTGTTTTAGGAGAGGCTCCCTAGCCTTCAGTCGCCTCACTCAAGCATGGAGGTGATTTCCTGCTCTCTGGTAGCAACACCTGTGCTAGGTGTTCTTGTCAACTTGATACAATGTGGAAAAAGGAGATCTCAGTTGAGGAATTGTCTCAGTAGCGCTGATCTGTGGATATGTCTGGTAGGGAATTTTCTTGATTGCTGACTGATGTGGTAGGGCACATCCTGGGTAGGTGGTCCTGGGCTATTTAAGAAAGCAAGCCTGAAGGCAGTGTCCTCTGTTCCCTCTGCTTCAGTCCTTGCCTAGAGCTCCAGCCCTGGCTTCTCTTGACGATGGACTATAACTTGTAAGCCAACTTCCCCCAAGTTGCTTCTGGTCAGCATTTTGTCAAAGCATACTAGAACAATAACAAACCCTTTAAATAGGTGGTGGCCATCTACTAAGTCTCTGCAGGGGACTTCTGCCATCTTTAAGGCCATTACAATCTACTTGCACTTTCTGGGTATTAACTTCTCAAGATGCAATCTTCAGTGTGTGTGTTTGGGGGGTGTTCTGGGAAAAACACTGAACTTGAGATAAACTCCCTCAGACTTTAAAGTGCATAATAGAGTATTGTTAAACGTAGGGGTGACACTGGA